GATTCATTTAAAATTTACGTTTAAACATTAGGTATTGGAGATCCTTCTTCATAAATTGGGTTCCACCTTAAATCTTTTTTTAAAGAATAATTTCATAAAGCAGGCCTATTCAAATAGCATATGTAATGAAATCAGACTTAGTGCACATTAGACACTTATGTAACTTTGATTAACAACATTTCTTCTTCCTTTTAAATACTCTTTATATTTAAACTTTAACTGAGTCGCCGAGTACTTTGTATTTAGAACCACTATATACCTTATTATTATTTTTTTATGTCACGTAACGTTTATTACTATTGTATTGCGTTTCTTTGAGAAACATTTTTGGTTTGATTCTTCTTTAAAGAACGAGTCTTAATTATTAACATGAAATTGTTAAAAAACCCTACTACTTTCACTCTAATGTCATTTTTAACACTTTTCTTTATAAAAATATGTCTCAATCACGCCTTTTAATAGAAATTGGCAATCTTGTAATGCCTCCTCTACACGTAGACAGATTTGTCTGCAGTCGTCCGCAGACGCATCCGCAGATGAATCTCTACGAGCCGTCCACACGTCGCCAGGTCGTTCAGTCTATGTTGGTTCTCGTCAGATGCAACACGTACGCACGCAGAATGGATATAGAGACCGTTGCTGCCGCAGCTATTTAATTATTTAGTACCTACAAGTATTATTTAAGCGTCTATCGCAATAGAGTTATTAAAAAAAAATGGAGAAGAAGAAGGTGGTGGAGCCATCACATCGTAAAATATCCATATGGGCTGATACACATCCTCTGTTCCCGCCCCTGACCGAATGGATGCATTTCTTTTTTTTAAATTCGTTCTAAATGTACTAAGAAGATTATCTTTTTTTTTTTTTTAACTCATGCACTGGAATGCCCATCGTATCAGCAATACGTTTCCATGAATCATTAATCTGAAAAAATAAAATAAGTAAGTATAATCATTGTGGTTATATCAATGGGCATAATAACAGGTGGTCAAAATAAGTTGTCGTGTGTCGCGTTAACACGATCAAAATACCCATTCACATAAAACTGTATTATAACTTTGACCGTGTTTCAATGCGGCTTTAATTCGAACTAAAATAACAATTGCCTACCCGTCATAAATCCACATTGTTAATATCTAATAACCAATTTACAGTAAACTCAACTGAATTTGTAAGTAGATAGTTAAATAAAATGAATGAATTGTGTACTTACAACATTTTTATTTTTGTGGTATTTATTTTTGGGATTCCACAGGCAGTTTTCTGCTTGATACAGCTCCAGAAATTTAAATGTTTCCTCTGTGCTCATGTTTGCCATTTCAACAAGCAAGAAAAAAACGGCGGTAGGTAAAAAAGAACGGCGAAAATCACGCGTGCTCTCTCACTCGCTTCCCGCTGAACACTGATGCGTCGTCAGACGTGTGGACACACCGCACGCTCGCGCCGGGCGCCCGCGCCAGATCCCTTTGATCCGTGCAACAAAAACCGACAACAAACGGATAAGTGCCGGACGCGTCTGCCGACGTCAAATACCTACCACAGACGAGCAAATCACTCCCTCTACTCCGTGCGTACGTGTTGCATCTGACGAGAACCAACATAGACTGAACGACCTGGCGACGTGTGGACGGCTCGTAGAGATTCATCTGCGGATGCGTCTGCGGACGTCTGCAGACAAATCTGTCTACGTGTAGAGGAGGCAGGACGCGTCCGCCGACGTGTAGAGGAGGCATACCACAGACGAGCAAATCACTCCCTCTACACGTAGGCGGACGCGTCCGCCGACGTGTAGAGGAGGCATAAACAAACGTGATCAGCTGATATTGACAAAGACTTATCTCTGCCCCTAGTGATGTGGGCACTCTTCAAGATATGTACTTTATTCTTAATTATTACCTTAAAGTATTCAAAAATAACTACTTCATTTTGTTCATATTTTATTACGTATTTATTAGTGAGCATTTTTTAAATAGTTTAAAAATGTACTATCCAAACGAGAACACAGAAGAGCTCTTAGCATAATGATTATAAATATCTTTATTTAAAAATGATATAAACCATTTGTAGTTCAAAAACGGCTTTACTGCCTTTAGGAAGAAACAGAGTTCCCCTGGTCAGCTATACATTTCTAAGTTTGAAAATAAAGTAAGTCGCGGACAAAAAGCAGTTCAATGTATAATTATTATGTACACCACTAATTTTTCAAAGACAAATAGACTTTGGTGAGTGAAAAATGATCGTGTCAATTTGACAAGTGTTTGGTAGTCAGTTGCTTTGTTTACAACATTTCTATTTGAATGGACTAGGTGTGTTCAAAAAGTACCCGGAATCTTCGTTTTAAAAAAATATATATATTTTATTTGTTTATTTCAATGCAGTTTCGTTTAAAGTACTCCCTCCCAGCTAAAATACACTTATGCCAGCGTTTTTTTCAATCATCGAAGCACCCTTGATGTTCACTTTTTGGAATGTCCTTTAGCACTCTCAGCGATTCGACCTTTTTTTCTTCAACCGAGGAAATACGCCGTCCTTTCATGGGTCTCTTCAATTTTGGGAACAGAAAATAGTCACACGGAGCCATATTTGGTGATTATGGAGTTGCGGTATGACTATGATAATGTTTTTGGACAAAAAATTACACACAATCAACGACGAGTGAGTAGGCGCGCTACATGGTTCAAAAGTCATGAATTGCTTTTTCATAAATCGGGCTTTTTTTTCGGATTGTTTCAAGCTTACGTCGCATTACTTCAAGGTTATACTCCTTATTAACTGTACGATCTTGTGGCAAGAACTCTTGATGCACTTTGCCATTATAATCGAAGAAAACATAACCGCACACCCATGTTTCATGACCAGTTATCATGCTTTCAAGCAAACTTGTATCGTCGTTGGCATCGTCATCGTTTTTTTGGTCAAAATTCAACAGTTTCGGAATTAATTTTATTACCACTCATTTCATGGCCAAAATATTTGATAAAATGTTATAAGATGAGCCAATTGATATGCCAACTTCATCAGCAACTTCTCTAATTGTGATTCGGCGATCATTCATAACCATTTTTTCACATTTTCATCGACTATTGACTATTATTGGGTTGACCGGGCCGTTCGTCATCTTCAGCTTCTTTTGGCCATTTTGGAAAAGGTTATACCACTCGTAAACTCTTGTTTTTTTCATATCATAGTCAACATATGCTTTTTGTAACATTTCACACACTTAATTTTTATTTTGTACTCAAAATCTGATACAAATTCTTTGACTTCAATTCTTCCATTGGTTAAACAAAAAAAAACGCCGTGCTCATAAAACACGTCAAACCTAATAGCGACTACCACGAAAAAAGTAAACAATGAGCAAAGCTGAAAATGTTATTATAGTTTAGGGACATGTATGCCCACACAATAAAAAAAATTACAATCGGACCCTCCAGACCTTGGAAATTTAAAAATTCCGGGAACTTTTTGAACAGACCTTGTATACGTTATAACTTTGCTATTTTTGCACACCAGGAGCACGAGTTTTTTATATTTGCTATTAAATATTTTTTAAATCTAGAACAAGATATAGTCCGTTAGACTTAAGCTGAGCTTTGCATTTGTGTGGGTAAAAGTAAAAGTAGAGTTAGACAAAAAAACTTTTAAAATTAGATCTTATTATATTTGAAATATATACATAAGTGCTGTAAAATAAGCAAAACTTGTAAAAGGCCAGATGCAAATATTATGGAAAAAAAATTGATTAATAAAATTTTTGAAAAACCTATAAAAATTCTTATTCACTTGACATTGCGTTTTCAACATTTGATTTTGCTACCAGTACAAAAGGTGAAATGAGGAAGGTGCGAAGTAAAAGCAGAATAAACTGGTTGAAAACTAGAAAAGAACGTGGCATTCAAAAATTTGACATCACACCTACACTATCCGTGTGCACTCACACAAATGCAAAGCTCAGCTTAAATCAAACGCACTATACAACGACTAAAATGACATGGCCTGTTTGTTTTCTTTCAGAGAATTTACTTACTTTACCGTTCCCTAGTAACCAGAATTAAATTAACCTATTAATTAAGTTTTTCGATTTGTTGACCTTTGCTTTATCTCAAGTGCTAACGTTTCTTTCTAAATTCCAAGGACAATGATATAAATACTTTTTTACTGCCTTTGTACTATTTAAAAAAGTACATTTAATAGATTCATATTAAATCAAAAAGTAGCGGGGTGTCGGTTATAATATGGATGTTTTTCAAATACTCTATTTTGAAACTGGTAACACAAAACATAGCTTTTACTTCTATATTTCATAATTTTTTTAATGTAATAAATATCTTTCAATGCGAAAGTACTGATTTATTATACTTTTATTTTGAAGAAAATAAAACAGATTTATTACCTTTTACATCATTTATTTTGTGTATAAATGCATTTCAGTAAAGAAACTTCTGAGTAAAAAAACATTTTACTTTATCATTATTACGAATATCAAACATTCCTAAATAAAATTATATATGCATGCATTTATAATAACTAGCTATAGTTTTTGTACCGTAACAATATAATCTTGTAAAAATAAATAAAATGCAGTAACTTATCTAAATATGTACAAATATTTACACAATCTTCCGTAATGTTGAAATCATTTTTTCAGTCTTTGCTCTTAAAGTTGTTGTCACTTCATAAATATCTCGCTCAACGAAAACATCAAACATTTTAATAACTAATATTTCTTTAATAAAATTCAAGAGTATTTTTTAATATTTTTCCTCATTCCTTATTAATGTAATAATATGCAACTATGAATCACGCGTCATCTGTATTCTGGCGCCATCTTTAATAATTGACAGCTTATTGATATATGAACGTTAATATGAACTCCGAACAAGGTTTATTGTCGTCATAAACTATCGTAATCAACCGAAGTTGGTTACTTGCGTCAAAAAAATATCAGAGTTACTTATATATAACATATTAATTCTACGTGTAGTTCTATATTATCTTTATTATGTATGTGCAGCGGAAATATTCATGTACATGTGTGCGCCGTCGCGATCGTCGCATCTACTTGCGACAGATCTGTCGCGCGAAGAAAAGTTCAGTCGTAGGTGTGTCGAGCTCGCATCAGAGTCGCAATCCAGCCTTTCTCTAGAAGCGGACGCTTCTCTCTCAACAATAGTCGCCATGTGTTGGCTTCTAAAAATAGATAACACAATTAAAATACCCTATAAAGACGTATTCATTGAAAAATATTGATAAAAATGAATAGGATGGAATCTTTATGGATGTTATTTACCTATTGTCGTGTTTAGGATGTCCGAATGTTGTAAATTGTGGACATCCGTTGAGGGGTCGCGGCGGCGGCGGGATCAAGTAGTCGTCGAGACGATTATCGTCACACGAATTCATTGTCAGAGTACTCGCGGATATCTGTAAATAGACAACACTAATGTTCATACTTCTTAGACGTGGGATTGTTATGATCGGACGAATTGTTTTTCCTTTGCACTTTAAAACTAGTTTTTTTTACTATGAAATAATAATTTTGATATGTAATATTCATATTTGGTACATATAATAATAATATAGTGTTTTAAAAGGAATAAAATGACTCACAACTGATCTAGCTTTATCGTCTAACTCCGATTGCACGCTGTGTGTTTCTCCGACACTGCCGCCGCTGACTGTACTGAGACGACCTGACGATGATGAACCTTGGAGAAACACAGACGTAGAAATATATTAATATATTAATACTAAAAAATATATTAATACTGGATTATAATAATCATAATAAAAAATACAAATACTTTGACATAATAGCCACTTACTGTCACTCAAACTGCTGTTCGGTCTGGTGTTACCATTTCTTTTTTCAATCGTGCCAGTGTTTGTTTCGTGATCTAGAAATTAATTAAAATTAATTGTCAATAATATATTTTATATTTATTTTAAATATACATTATTCAATGCACATACGTTTATTGCTTTTGCTTTTTGAGAACATCTTTTTAACCCTCTCGAATGGAGTTGGTCTTTTCATGTTATCTTTAATCTTTTGTTGTATCTTGTCGTATTCTTCTCTCATTTTATTTAGTTGTTCCTGTTTTTCTTTCAGCGACTGTTGTGTTTCGTTCCTGTTCCGCCACTCCATCACGAGTTTTTCAACTTCAGATATTGTGAATACGTTGTTTTTGAAATCGTTGATTATTTCCGCCAGTTCCTCTTGTCCGGAGGCGTCTTTGCCAGATTTAATGCTGCCACTGTTGCGTACGTTCAAATTTATCTGACTTATATCACTTGTTGGCGTTTCGATGTTGAAAGTTTTAGATTCTTCGGTGGGTGAGTAAAGAAACACATCAGATTGCTGCGGTAGTAATCTCGAGCTGTTTGCATACAAATTGTTCGGTCGGAATTTTGGGCTTTCGACCTTTATATTGGATGGTTGGAATAGATAATCATGTTCTATAGCTTGTTGAACTCTGTCAATTTTGTGATCGTGCAGTTGGAAATCGTTTTGGTAGAACTGTTCTTTAACTTTTGGCAGTTTAATAGGATTCGGTCTTTGTTTTTTCTCTTCTTTTTTATCAGGTGATTCTTCTAAGTTCTGGGTGCAGACTTCACTGAATGGATCCGTTGGTACTTCGCTCGAGTCTTCTTTATGTTCACAACTCGGTGAGTCAACAGTGTCTTCTGTCTCCACGATACAAAGTTCTTCCGGTTGTTTGTCTTCCTCCTGTGAGTCCTCTTTATCATTGTCGGACATGTTCTTCAAATAGTAGTACATGTTTGAGAATTCGTTTATTTTCTGTAACAAAAAAACATTTATAATTATAATTCCAATATCATTTATAATTAAAATTAAATTTTTATGGTACATAAGTATATGTATTTATAATACTATTTATTTAATCTGTGGTACTTAAATGACTTAATTCTTCTAATATTTATTTTTTTGGTAAACGAACTATCAGAGCCTAAGTGCTTGTATATGTTATGGTAATAACATTGACTTACACGTCTTTAGTTCAATATAATGACACATGATATTTGCGAAATCTATAAGGAAACACTAATTATAGAAGAATAATATTAATACTAACGAGATGATCAGCCAACATATCAGCGAGTCGGTGATGATTGTGGTCCCGCGCGAGGTCGGGCGGCGTCCTACGTCGAGCGTTCTTGATAGCGACTGCGGCCGCGCCTCCCGGACATTCTAACAGCTGCCAGCACACTCGCTCAAGACCAAACCGAGCGGCCCAGTGAAGCAATGTAGGGTATTCTTCACCGCCTTACAGAAAACACATAAATTACTAAACTATATACGCTTCATACGCCTTATACACACATGTCACTAAACTACCATAGAGCTTCATAGAAGGTCATAATAACATGCTGATCCTAATTAGTCGTTTGTATACTGTTTTATTTATATACATTATACAATCAATCGTGGTAAATATAAAGTGTTCAGTTTTTTCATTCATAAATCTCCACGTCTGTATGTAATTCATCGATGTCTCATGGTATAAAAAGTTAAATATTTATTATATGAACATATATGACAGACCAACTGACAGACTTTGAAATCTCGTCTGTCTGTGATCACGGTTGCTGCAGTCACCGAAATGTCAGGAGTACGTATTTTTTACAATACTAAATGGGCGTAGTATAATCAGTTAAATATTAGTTTTATTACATATGCTACTCACTGCTCATGTCCGCTTTGGGGTTGTAATGTTCGTTTGAAGCTAGTAGATTGAAGTGCGGCGGAATATTCTTCTGGAAGGCGTTTAGCATCCAACTATCCAATTGTTCCTTACTCGTAGTCTTAAAACCTAATGTCTGTAATGAGAACATATTTTAATTAAGTCCATATATTTTGCCTTTTGAATTTTCATTTTCGACGAATGATTGCTGTACCTGGCACATAAACTCCAACGGATGATCGGATGCTCTTAATAATTGATCCAATTCCCTCAAACGGCTCTCGCATTTTATTTGTCTCCTTCCCAGCGACTGTCCATTTTTGCTCACCCTCACCCAAACCAACATAGACACTTCCAGGCATGATTCTGTAAATTAAATGACAATCAATTTTCAATTTCGGGCCCCACAATACAGGTCTGCTAGTGTGGGGTCCAAAGATAATCAAAATTTTAAAATTGCTAAAACCATAATGCACCTCAACCAATGGAAAACATTGTAATAGTTTTAGTAGATTAATTGTGTCATATGTTAATCTATTATGTATGCATTGTGTTTTTTCAATAAAGTTTATTATTATTAATCGTTGGTTGTACATAAAGATGTGTTTTAAAGTATCAGAAAATCAGAAAAATTATTGCAATATTATTTTCCTGTATACCTGGAATATCAAATTGAAGCGTGTAAGGATTCCTTTTCTTAAACGACGGTATGTGAATGACCTCTCCTTTTTTGTCGACCATTATCTTAATACTATCTTCCTCCCGAATTGGGTCGTTTAGGAGCGCTATCACTCGACTTTGACCCTTTGGAAGAAATTACGAAACATTAATTAAGTAATTACATGATAATAGACTGTTACTACTATTATTACACTTGGTACGTACAATTTTAACTTTCTTTGGCACAATTGAGAAGCTAGTTCTATCTGCTGCAGTGTCTTTGCAGTCTTTTGTACGTAGGATACCAACAGCGGCTGTGAGGAAAGTGTCCACAAAAGACGTATCCTTCTCACGAACTGACATCATCTTCCATTGGTCTATGTTGGAATAATCTGGAAAGTGGTATTATAATTAGGATATTTGGTTGGTGGAAATCAAATCATATAGACTATTATATAGTTACCTTCGCAATTATTAGCAATTATTTGATTCTTCTCAACTCCTAATAACATAACTAGAACTTTGTCGGTTTTAAAAATAGTATCAGCGTTCAAATCTCTCTTCAGCTCCGACAGTTTAGATGCAAGTATTGGACAAAGTATGACTATTTGTAGTTGAGCTTTGCCCAATTTGTCCAGTTTATCTTGAGATTCAGCTGAAACTAACTCTTCTGCGGTGACTGGAGTGACTCTGAAATAACATTTTATTATTATTTACTAATCAAAAAAATTATGATATCTTTGATTAATACATTTGAAACTTTTATCTAGATACGTATTCTTGGTACTTTAAAATACAAAATTTATAGACATTAATATTAACACTTTTAAGTCAGAAAAAAAAGTTTAGTTTATTTCAGTGTAAATTATCGGTAAGTATAATGTATGGCAAGTTTTTTTTAATATCTCAAACTATAAATCTATGTCATTACAGTAAAATATATAATTATTAAATGAAATACCTATAATGATGTCTGGCTCTTTGCGACATGATCTTGTCGAAGCTGGCCACGAGGTAGTCCGACCATAAAGCGCTTTCGGGAGAACCTGAGCTCCAAAGTATTGCGATGTCTTCCATTTCTAGTACAAAGTAATTATCATTTAAAAATAATACTATTAGAAATTTCTTCTAGCATAATAGAATGTCAAACGAATGTATTCATTTAACTTTGCTTGACATAATTATTGATGGTAAGAAGACTAGGCGTTGTGAACTGTTTTGTAATATAAAATCTATCATACTCCATCTTATCCTATATTAATATTCAGTCAAATATAAATTATACAATATAGTACAATGTTCATTGTTCATTTCTTATCATTCTCCGAACACAATTCGTCCAAGCAGAGTTATCTCGACCTAACAAGGAAATACCCTAAACCCGTCATAAGTTGTGTATCAAGTAAGATTGATACAATGTCGGCGCGGTATCCGCTGGCTTATGTAAAACATTGACTTGAGTCTTGAAAGGATGTGTTGTCAAGGGATAATCGAGCCATAAACGATGTCATTCATATTATGAAGGATCAAAGTTCACGATTCATAGACATCATAAGTTTTATATTCTTCATTTATTTGTTGTATGCTTAACACAAGTTTGTTTCATTCTACGAACACGCGTTAATAGTCTTCTATTCAGAAATCTTCGTAATTTATATTATTAATGTAAGCTATTTAATAACAAACGAAAAACTCTTCGTATCGTGTGAGGAGACGAATCAAACTTGTGTTAAGTATACGTTTACAGCCAATAAGAAAACCAAAAAGTATATATATGACACAGATTAAAAAATCATGTTTAAAATTGGCAAAATCTTAAAAATAATTATTAATCTGTGGAAAACATTTAAGATGATGAATTGCATCGACATCTGTGCATACATCTGCAGGCCGGAGTAACCTGACCGCCCGCTAGCCCTTGTCTTGCCATTACCACCAGACCGTTCATTCTTAATGGCACTCGAGTCTAATTATAACAAATTTAAACGATGATATTATTAATCCTATATCGACCCGAATACATAATTACGAATAACCCAGTGAATATTTAAGTATGTACGCCAAATAAAGTGACAAACGTACCAAAAACCCCATTTCTCATACAAACATACGCAGGCTGTTAAAGTTTTTATTACTTCCAACGGCTTGCATACGCATCGTCTGCTTACAAAATATGCTATGCACCACGCGCACCGGATACTCATACGGATTTATACTTACCCACCTCTACCGCCAAATGAAGACCCAACTAAATGTAATATCCGTTTCCTAAATAGACAAACGTCTAGCATCGTGGCCAGGAATAACTATGGCCGATTAGATGGAATGGTAGGGCATATAATAAAATGTTATGGAATCTATGTTATAAATATTAACGGTTATAACACATCCAAAGAGGTCGAATATAAACTAATCATGAGATATATTTATAAAGTTTTTATATTATTTATAAGTGATATAACTTACTATATCTAAATATATGTAAAGATTTATTTCGTAATTTAAAAGTTACGCATTTGAGTTCAACGTCCGATGTCTTTGATAGGCCGAATGAAATAATGCAGCACAAAGGATTCCGTCTTTGGTGGCCTTTGATGTAATGTTTTCTCACATAAATATTACCAATTCGACCACTATTTACGTATAAATCTAACCATAAACCGGGACGGGCCAGTTTACCTTTCGAAGAAAACATCTGGCTGTGTTCTTTTGACCGTCTCGACCACGATTCGATAACAAATCTTCATACTAAAATATTTGTTAAAAGTAACATTTTTAACCTACATTCTTATTATAAATATTAAAAATTGCAATTGTTACATCATTTATATATCCTATATATAAAGTTCTCGTGTTCCGGTGCTAGACAGAGACCTCCTCCGAAACGGCTGGATCGATTTTAATGAAATTTTTTGAGCATTTTGAGTAGCTCTGAGAATCGACCAACATCTAGTTTTCATACCCCTGAGTCATAAGTTGTTTACCCTTAATTTTTTTCGAACAATTTTTTTAACAATGTAGCATTAAAAAATACAACTCAAAATTTTTACTTTTTTATCACCAACCCCTATTTTTTATATGACAAAACAACGTTTGCCGGATCAGCTAGTTATAATTACATAAATACATAAGCATGGATGTATAATAAGCACATTAAGATTATAAGTCATTCTAATCTTGGCGCCATGCTTAACAAGACTAAAACGATAAATTATGATAGTAGTTATGACAAAGAGTTTGTTATGGCAGCGTTTAGCTCGAAACGGGAGCATTACTGAAACTGATTCATAATATTGAAATAAACTTTTCCTTCTTTTTCTGTCTTCGTACTTAATGTTAATTGAAAAATCTGACATCATTCTGTAATTAGTATCTAAAAATAATTTATTGGTCACGCTGCATTTAATGGATTGACTGTAAAAATTCTGTATAATTTTCTGTTGTTCTAAATTCATCGTTAATTCTATTACCAAATCGTGAATGTTCAATAGTTTGATTAGATTTCATGACAAGTAAATGACTCAGCTTTACACAACTAATGACCATATTAGCTACCTCTTTATTCGGTTGTTACAACTTCACGAATTTAAATTGTCTTCATTAAATCGGAAACAACAAATGGGTGTACATTCAAAATATATTAGTTTGAAGGTTGAGACAATTGATAGTTTTTATTATTAACAAGAAGTTAAAAAATAGTTTTTATCAATACTAAACTTAGTCTATGAAAATATAATATATGTATAAATCGTCCGGAAACGGATATTCAATAAACAAGAAGATAGATTAAAACAAACAAAATAACGGATGTTCATAGAGTAGTTTAAAAATGTAACACATAATCGAATTTCATTATTCCCATTACCGTCTACCCACGTATTTGACCTGATTAGTAAAATTATAATACCCAGAAGCCTAATCAATCATCAGAAATATTTTGGATAAAGAAAGTAGATCGCCATTATATTCTTATAACTAATTAAAACAAACAATTCAAAACAATCAACTTAATTATTAAAATAATTTTAACCTGGCAACTATTTAAACATTTCGTCTAGACAATGCACAGAGTATAATTTTTTTATATATTTTTAACAGCGGATGTAATAAAGCATGGAATATGATTTTGCTGCACAGAAGGGATCCTGTGCTTCATGTTAGAGAAGAAAATAGGCGTCAAAATTTATATTCCTACCACGAGTACATTACGGGAGTAGCTTTGATGCATGTTAAGTATACCATGTTTATTCTGCCACTCCTGCCACCCTGCATTTGTAATGTGTCCAAGTAATAAAAATGTTGCCATTCAATATTAGCCTCTAAAGCGAGGGCATAATGAACAAATCGGTGTATAAAAAACTTTGACAATGCAACAACTGTTTTGACTGTTGTATCACGGTGTCCCTTTGACATTTCTTTCAAATAAGCCCATATTGCCACCGGAAGAACGAGAAATAACTTAATCAAATTAAAATTTAAAATCGGTTAAAACTTAACAAGTATGTATTAGAATATAATATTTATGAATATCGTATTTTTATTTGATTAGAATAATAATTTATTAAGGCTAAAGAAATTTCAATGTAGGACAAATAAAAAATCAAAATACCTAAAGTATTTCGACCCAACATACGGGTATAACAATAGATCCTTTAAGTTATGTATGAAATATTTTTTGTTCGTCGAATCTTACATTATATAGAACGAACACAATAATATAATAATATTTTCAAACTATATTAAAACAAAAACATGTCAATAAAATTAAATGTTAATATTTTGTATTAAAACGAAATATAAAACAACTCACTTATATTTTCATCGGGCGTAGCTTCGTTAATTTTTCCCATTCTTATTAACAACAATGAAACCAGTACACCGCGTTACAAACTTAATAAATATATCATTTCACTGATGATAGAACACTAGAATGCGCGCGGAATAAGTTAATCAAGTGGGCTTGCAAACAAGAGCGCTGAGAACAGATTGTTGCAAACTGTTTGCAAGCGGAGTCGCGACAAAGCGTAACGCGCCGACGCGACGGTAACACTGGCGTCAGTCAAAGCGCGCGCACGCACCACGCATACTAACAGCACTAAAGTCTAAACTGAGCTCTTCGCGACAATGATAATCGCAATACCATCTTTGAATGATATCTCGACAAACAAATTTGATACCATTTTGGGTCTAATGTAAATACACGGACGATATCGTACGCCAAATACGATTCTGTCAATACTGGACACGTAACGATTGTATTCTATGCTCTTGTCGAAGATAAGTCCAAGCGTTGCTTTATATTAAAAAAAGACAAACAAATATATGGTCAATGAGATTAAGATAGTAAAGTGTGAATTAAAAGGAATTTAACAAGTACGATATAAAAATATCTGAACTTCGATATATAGATAAATAAAAAAAATATAGAATAAAAATAAAAATAATACTTTTATAGCCTAAACATTTCTTTCTAAACGTAAATGACGGTATAATTTTATCAGTATATTTTCGTTTATCATAGGTCAATACAAAGGACAAATCAAAGGGCCATTTAAATGTTTTCTTAAATATAAGTAATTATTAGAAACAATGCATTTCTTATCGCACTATCACAACGGGTCAAGGAGTTCGAGTGCAACGCTCTTTACTGATACCAGTCCTACGTCTAACGTATTGTTTACGACTTTTTGTCACTATCCATTTCCACATACACCTATAAATAGAAACAGTCCACAAAAATCTTCCTCTGTTTAATTGGTTTGTACTAGATATTTCAGAGACAAAAGCATTTAAAGAGCAGTATGAGTTACACTATTCTTGACAATAAGTCAATAATATAATAGTTATGTTTATAATTTATATGTTTTTTAAGTATAAAAATTACCTTTGAAAGAAAAATTCTTTGGTCGTCTTCTTTTAACGGCTTCTTCTTCTGTCTTATTAATTCTTGGTGGTGGCATCTTTGGTACTTCACTAGGAACAGTCGTGACTTCTCCAGTGCCACTAGAACCAGTAGCTAAATAGCCACCTACTGAGTGCCGTCTTCTTCCTTGCAAGGGAATCGTATAGAACACCTCCTCATGATCCCTTGAACCGTTAGATGTAATTACTTTGGAACTAATTTTGCCCTTTCTGTAAAAAAAAGTTTTGTTTAAATAAATCTGATTTATCGTTTTTTTTATATTCAAATGTCGTTGATGCTTACTTTATACGCGGAGCAGTAAACGTGTGTTTCATATCTCCGGGTGCACAATCTCCTGGTCGCGGTTGGCCTTTGAGGAATGCTTCGGCTTGTTCAGGTTCCTTTGCTGATAGTGATCTGAGGAGTGCTCTGAATTCTTTTCTTCGAGGGCTTTCTGGTTCTCGTCTCCGTGGGGAACTGAGAGGCCTGGCATTATCTGCCCAAGCTCGAGTTGGAGCAGATCTGGAAAACTGTTCAGACCCTGAAGCCTGAAGGCCGGTACTGTCCGTGACATCTTTGTCCGGGAACGCGAAGTACGAAGGATTATCTAGAAAAGAAATACATATATTAATTTATTACGCATAAATGTTTATATTTTTTAAATTTATCCAACCTATGATGACCATAAATTCTTAAACGACGTCCGTAGCTAGAGATAAACTACTGAGCAGATGGAATTATTCAATAACTACAATGAACTAACGGGTCTCGGTAACGTCCAGTGCGGGCTAACCAACCTACTTCTGTAGGCCGGAAAATGCGAATTTAAAGCAATCTTTACACAGCCCCGGTACATAATGTCCTTATATAGGACGATGCTCCGTAGATAACTGCGTACTTTGAATTTAAATACATAGTTACAACATGATGTAATAATTGAAAACAATAGCTAAATTGAATAATAGTGTTACATACGATGATTTTATTATCATGACAATATAAATATTATTTATGTACTTAATAACTCAAGATCGATATTGTTTGTGGAGTGCTTGTCAGTTTCTTTGTAACTCTAAAAATACTTTATATAATATTAATAGGTATGCTCCAAGTGTTTATGAACAGTGCTATTAAGTGCTTTTATTTTAAATCAATCCATCCTAAAAGAGGCTATGCTTTAAAAAATCTATAAATGTAAGACGAAGTAGAAAATATATTTTTACATGACATAGCGTAATATTTCAAACTGACCAAACTATTCTGGTCAATGGTCTAATGAATAACAATAAAAATGCACAAAATCCACAACCCGCATGTGGTATATATTAAGTTTAACAAATTCCAAAAGCTTCAAATGAATCCCTTGTAGCACATGTCAAGTATACCCAAAAACACAATTGACACCCATTCACAAGGGACAAGTCTAATTCTATGTTATTCACAATAATTGTATACTAAACGACTGTACTATAATATTATAAAAGTGTAGGATGTGGGTGTTCTAAGATAAATCAACAAAGGTATAATTAATAAAGTTTACCTTTGAAAACATTAGTTTAGATTAAAATGATAAGACATCTTGTTTTATGTGATGTTCCTATGATATTAAAACGTATTCATAATTATAATAATAAAAACATAATTTATTGTAATAAAGAGTTTTATACTTTGTAATATCACACTTGAAAATTAAAGTATTACATACGTTGCATTCTTATAAATAGAGAAAACAAAAAAAAAACTTTTCCGTTCTAATACAAGAGTTGCTATGAAAATATTTTGCATAATAAAATTAATTAATGTTAATAAACAATTATGTCTGAAAAAATAATGAATACACATAAATAAAAAAAGGCTAATTATTGTTAAATCATCCAAAAATCGTACAGATAAAAAAAAAACTCGCTTCCGTGTACATATGGATTTAATGATGAATCAATTTAAGTTCTCGGAAAAGAAGTAAAATGTGCGCGAAATTACAAAAAGACGTGGGTGTTACAGTTTCGTACTGAAATTAGTTTTCTTGGTACGAATCATTATAAACTTTATTTAATGATTTTTATTTAAAACGCACTCATTAATTATTTATTTCTATATATTTCACTTGATTAAATCGTAACAATTACAGTTACAAACAAATAAATATGCAAGTCGCGACCACACCAGTATATACACTAAATGAATATTTAAAACCTTAATTAAATCAAAACAGTTCCTTATTACAATATATCCATTATCAATTCAAGCACTTCATCTGAAGAAAATATTTAACAAACATCATCTAGGAATTTAGTTTTAATTATAAATTTTGTTATTTTTGTTCTTCCTGGATCGTTTATAGATTAAAAATAATTAAAGTTGAATATGTCAGACCACAGCCGTTATAAATATGAATAAATTAAAAAAAAAATAATGTCAAACTCACTAGTCGCGCGCAGACAATAGTCGAATTGAGGTCCCATGATTAGATGAACACAAACTAAGCACGACACATCCCGACGAACGCTTGGCGGGCTATGGCCGTCCCTCGTAATACACGCAGGTGAACATTGGTTGCAACCAACACGTGCGTACACAGAGGGAAGCTTTCTTAGCACGCGAACAGGAAACGTCCAAGAACAAAATCACGTATACGCTGAAGGGGAGCCAGATTTAATTTTGAGTGTTCGTGCGTGCGCGTCCATTTTGGTAGCACACGCCAGATTTTATGTTTGTAAATAAACTACGCACATTGTTGATGTTGAAGTCCGAAGAATACGTATTTGGTAGCAGCTTCGTTGGTTACCTAACTGCTAACTAACCTATTACTCATTATGAAGAATAAAAAAATATTTTGACTATATAAAGTATATAGCAAACCATCAGAACGCCTTTCGTGTTTTATTTAAATTTATTTGTTTACATATTTAATAATTAAAATTTGATAAAATAATGAATTTATTGGACTGTGTCGTTCTTAAAATGAATACTTTGACAACTGTGACATCTTATAATCAGTCGCAGCTGCTTCCTATTGCATAGAAAATATATATATCTTAGTTACATTCCAACAATTATTATTAACTAGGTTATAATATAACATTTATTTTCTACACATGTCATGAGTAATGACCAGTGAAATATTTGCCAATAACAAAACTATATAACCTATTTGAATTACCTAGCTAGATATTACTCTGTTGAAGTGTATAAAAAATCATAGTTAATATCAGGTATAAAAGTATTATATATTAAAGGGACCATTTTAAAATAACCCACTTGTATAGTGGAAGTAAAAAAAAAACAAACCAGATGTCGGTCTCACTGTGTTTACTTGCATCTGCTGTAAAACAAAGCACGTTTTTGTACCACAGAGAATTAACGAAGAAGAACAGGGAAGTTGATTCTCTTACTGATTTTTGTACTGAATAAATGGAACAATGTTTTCTGTCAGTATTTAAGAAAATAAGTTCATGTATTATCTGTATAGGAGAGTGACAAGTTGAATTATAAATTGGTATTGCTACTATATTGAAAAATGAATGAAAAGATCTGAAAGCTATTATAAAAATCATTGTCGTCACCATATCTGCAATATTTTATTAAAAAAAGAACAAAGCAATTATAATTAAAATTAAATGTAACATTCAAATAAATATTTCAATATAAATAAAATCACTAGACACTCCTATTTTTTTAATTGAGGAATTTTTATTATCAATCATTATTTTTTTAATCTATGTACTTAGTAGCGTGTTAAATTAGGAAATCCGTTGTCAGTGTATAATTTTCAAGATAGTGTAAAATACATTTCAAGTTAAATAATTTAAATATGTCCAAAAGAAGTCAAGTTATAAATAAACTAAGGTAAAATGCGAGCTTCTCTTAAAAAAATAAAATTAATTAATGTTGTTCCCGCCATTATGCCAACAAAATTTTACAGTATGCCGCCAAAACCCTTACAGCTTATTTTATTTTTTCACAATAAAATTAAAATATATAAATGTTCAAAACGATGATAATATTTAAAAATATAACTTACGAAATGATTTTAAACTTCGAAACTTAACGACCAATACCGTTATTACAGTTTTATTTTTAAAAGTCATCTCAATCACAAAAACCAGATGACAAATTAAGACATCAAAAAAGGATTAAGACATAATAATTTCGAGTTCAAAATCCTGTGGGTATTTGCGGAATGTCTGCCTGTTTATTTATATCAGTGCATGTGCTAAAATCTAACATTACTCATCCCTTACTCTGTCGGAATATAACTTAATCTTGCAAGCATTTCGTGTACTAATTCTCTGTCTATTTATCTGTTTCGATCGTTAATTTAGAGGAATTTATTTGCAGTAACATTCAACAAACTTTGTGATGCTTCACAGTATACTTTACTTTCAGCTCTTGTTAATAAAATTATAACTGACACGCGATTTTCATCTTAGAGATCATTTAAATATTATCTTTTATGTTAATTGTTTTTATTATTATTCAGTGTTTATTAATAACTGGCTGTATCCACGACTTTGTTCTCGCGAAAGAGTGACTTTAGGCAACATTTTTGATATACCTTTAAGTTTTTTCTTTAATAGGCTATATTGTTTTGAAATAATTATATACTTTACTATTAATGCTGTTCTATTCACGATATTAGACGCGTGGCATTTAGACTACTTCTGCTAGGATTGTTGACTGCAAAAAATAATAAATAAATAAATAATGCTACTTTGAGCCACATATTTTTCCCTTCTATCTTCCAAATAAAGACAGCTATCCGTTGCAATTTAAATACATGTATATATAAACTTATAAGACGTGTTAATTAACCTAACTTAAAAACAAATTAACATATACTAAATATACCTATATAATATGCGAATAGTTGAATGTTTAAGAAAAGTATGCGATGCTGGGCTCACTTTATAGGCAACGCGTTGTGTAAAACCAAATGTCCAACCTAAGTTGAGTCCTATTTCGTGTAATTGTTTATATAGATCTTAAGTCAACTTACACTGGTTATTGATAATTTTTAGCTCTGTTTTCCATTATAATTATTTATATAAAGTTTCAGTCGCAAAGCTTCTTAACAAAGAAATAATAGAGAGTATATGGACATATAAATAAATTTGCTAATTAAATGTTCGACGTCATTTAAATTGGCATAACTTTTTTGTTCGTGAGCCGATTGATGAGAAATGAAGACTAAATGTTAAACGTTACTTACCATAATATATTACTGAAAAATATAAAATAATTGAATAAACACTTTCTGAAATTGGAATACACAAACACTCAAAGAAATATACACAGACAAAAATTCAAACACTCTTTGTTTTGGTTTCTATTTTTTTTATATATATCTCCCATTTACAGGATTTATTGTCATTTTTATTATATGTATAGATTTATGACTAAATAAAATACGTTACAATGTATACCTAATATAGACATATGCAAATATATCTATCAGTAATTCAACGACAGGTAATTTTATTCGTAATATGTTATGTTTATTAGTTTAACAATATATTACCTACATACTTAGCATCAGAGACGGGGAGGCGAAAATTATTGCTATGGTAACATTGGTGGAATATTGAATAAGGGTCAATAGACAAAGATGGGCATTATCATCGACGTACGGCTTACTTACAATTGGCTGCTTCCGCTTGTGTCGAATTAATTCAATGAGCATACGTTT